GGCCTTTGATGGGCTGAAGATTAGATAGTCATAGTTACCTTCCTCTTATGATCTAACCAACCCATTTCTATTACAAAACTTGGACTCCTTACAATGAAATGATTATTAAAACATTTAGCATATGCTCCTTGCTTAATATTGTTTATGCTGATTCTAGTTCTAATTTTTATACTTGATACCTGTTCTTAGTGTATATAGTTTCGTATTGGGTTTGGAACTCTCTTATTTAGAAAAAGGGGGAGGTAATGGGAAATCTCCTTCAGCCAATGGCCTTTAAGAGGCTGTACCAGGTTGGGGCATGACTTTGGGAACCAAAAAGCCATGGTTCCTTCCTGCTCAGTCTCTTCTTCCCGCAAGCCACACCTAGATGTCAGACCCCATTCCTATTTCCTCACTGTGGTCTGTGAGTTCCCTTTTAATAAAGAAAAACCTTAGAATGCTCTATTTGACGTTAGCTTGGGATTATTTGACTTGCATTCCCCCACCCCCCATTTGACACATTCTGCATCACCCCTCTGAATAGGTGTGGTCCAATTTCAATCTTGTTTTCATCATGGAGTCTCTCCAGTTGTTCCACTGGGGACTGGTACTGAATCATCACACAATACTAAGAGGAGCTCTCATGAGTTTGGGGGTGGGGCAGTGTGGCTTACTCTATCATGCTAACTGTACAGTATAGATTATTGTATTAACTTCTTCTCTGTTCCTGCAACAAAACACCATGACCAAAAGCAATTTGAGGACAAAAGAATTTATCTCAGCTTATAGTTGTAGTCCATCACAGAGAAAAGTCAGGGCAAGCCCATGGAGGAGTGCTGCTTACTGGCTTGCTCCCTATGGCTAACTCAGCCTGCTTTCTTTTTTTTAATATTTATTTATTTATTAATTTATTTAATTATGTGTACAGCATTCCTTCCATGTGTGCCCGCAAGCCAGAAGGGGGCGCCAGGTCTCATTATAGATGGCTGTGAGCCACCATGTGGTTGCTGGGAATTGAACTCAGGACCTCTGGAAGAGCAGTCAGTGCTCTTAACCACTGAGCCATCTCTCCAGCCCCTCAGCCTGCTTTCTTATACAGCTGAGGACTACCTGCCCAGAGCTTCACTATCTACAATGGGCTGGGACATCCCACATAGTCATTAATCGAGAAAATGACCCACAGACTTGTCTACAGGCAATCCAATGGAGTTGGAGTTTCTCAGTTGAGATTCCCTCTTCCCAGATACGTCTACGTTTGTGCCAAACTGACAAAATCCAGCCACCATGGTCACATGAGCGGTGTCAAGGCAGCTACCTCGTGTGGCAGCAGCTCGAGGAAGGGGTTCAGGAAAAACCCACAATCCACAGCGGAGAGGGAGCTGGCTATCTAAAAACCGCACACGGGGTTGTGAGAAGAATCCTGTGTGGCAGAGCAGCCTGAAGACAGGCCAGCTGGTCTAGGATGGGTGTGTCCTGTGCTGTTTGGAGCCCAGGTGCTTCTGGAGTTTAGATGGCAGCTGGAGACTGTAGAGCAGCTACAACAGGAAAATCCCAAACTTGCTCAAAGGGGAAAAAAGAAAAGAAAACCTAGTGAGTGGGGCAGTGACTCTGAAGGGTGGCTGAATAGCCACAGGCAAGCGGCTTTCTCATGATTTTGTACCGTAAAGTTGCCGCTAAATGTTGTGTGAGTTCTAATTGATCTTAATAATAAAAACCCAGAGCCAGATATCAAGGCAAATGCTGAAAGATCAGAAATAGAAAGGAGCAAGACACAGCCAACTCTTACCTTGCTAACATCTCAGCCAAAAGAGCGAACCTCATGTCTCCTCCCACCTTACATTCCTCTCTAAGCCCAGGCATATCACTTCCTGTCTATCTGTAGAGACCTCTAGATCTCTATGGATAACTAGTGGTTAGCTCCGCCCTCTGAACTCAGGCAAGCATTATTTGTTAGAGTACAAACAAAGGTCAGAACTTGGACACGCATGCCTTGAACTAACCTGTCCTGAGCTGAGGAGAAAGGTCTCCAGAGGCCTCATCCATTCTCATCTCCTGAGGCCTGTAGAAAGGGGAGGAGGAGCCGACCCTAATGAAGGGGAGGCCTTGTCTGAGGTCAGGAGAGTGAGCTCTCTGCAGGGAAGGATATCCCAGACCTTGGCACCAAGAATCTGAAGGGAGAGTTAGTCGCTGTTCTAAAGGGACACTTCTTAGACTTCTTATGACTGAGGTTTTTCCAAGCAACACTATTACTTATAGGGTTAAGCAAATTTTCTTCTGTAGAAGGAAAGGCTATTGTCAGATCATAAATACACAAAGAAGCTGGGTGGTGCTGGTGCACAGCTTTAATGCCAGCACTCAGGAGGCGGAGGCACTCCGAGGTGGATCTCTATGAGTTTGAGGCCAGTCTGGTCTATAGACTGAGTTCCAGGCCAGTCAGGGCTACACAGAGAAACCCTGTCTTTAAAAAAAAAATTTCTTTTAACTAATTAAATAGGTAAATATACAAATAAAAACACACAGGAGGCCTTAAAATATAAATTAAGATCACTATATGAAAAAATATTTAAATACCGCACTCTACTATTTCTCATTACCGTACAATATCTGCTGTAAACTATGGAGCCATTTTTGCAGAGGACCCTACACACAGGCAGGTTTTCCCGGAGAATAGCATCCAGGTGGAGTGACCCAGAAGCACAGATTACATCCAGGCACCGTGGATTTCAGCATTTGGCAGGCTGGGGCAAGAGGATTGCCATGGGTTCAAGGCTAGACTGAGCTACACAGTGACTTTCAGGCCAACCTGAGTTACCTAGTCAGCTCCTGGCCCCTCGCAATAAAATGTAAGAACTAGAGAGATGGCTCAGTGGCTCAGAGCATGTATTGCCCTTCCGGAAGAGGGAATTTGGTTCCTAGAACCCACAGGAGGTGACTGACCAAAACTTCCTATAACTCCAACTTCAGGGGATCCAACACCCTCTACTGACCTCTGTGAGCATGCACACAGAGAGAGAGAG